CCAAACTGTTTTCTAAAATGGTCGCATCTAGGTTATGGATCACAGTAAAGTGGAAAGGCATGCAGGCCAGAATAATCTGTCTCCTATCTTTCATGTGCATGCTGGTAATATAAATTTGTTCATTTATCAAATATTACTAACTGCTGAATGGCTTGAGCTGGGTTAGGCACAGAGGATACAGCAATGAGTAAGACAGCCATATTTCTGTCCATATGGGGCTTACATTCTAGAAGAAAAGCAGACACTAAACAACACACTTCACAATTATTTGCTTACAAAGAGGTTGAGTGCTCTAGTCTGGAGACTTTCTGAAAGCTTCTTTTTGATCTGAGTGCTGAAGGATGAAAAACAGTCAACAAGATAGATATAATCCTAACACACAGTGATAACTGTGACAAAGAAGTAGTTCTGGGCTCCAACATAACCCCCCGGGACATAAATTTTTATTAACTGATTTGTTTATTCTCTTAATCCATCAAGTCTGCATGAAAATAATCCCAGGCTTTGGCATTAAAAACAGGATTTAGGAATACCATCCTCTTCTGTCTTCTGATTCAACACAAAACTGGGTACCCTCCCCGGAAGAGAACTGCCCCTTCTGAATGATGAAAACAACCACAAGCCCTCCCCATGAATCACTGGATTGTGAGAAGGACGGCAGAAGTCGTGGTGGAACAGCTGACGGAGCATCTCATAAAGAGCAGAGCACACAGCCCACCAGCCAGAACGTGCGCTTACTAAGCGTCACACAATCTTATCTAATGTACATGACAACCCAGTGAAGCAGACAAAGTTAGCATCATTCTGTGCAAGAATAAACTACAGCCCAAAGAGATTACATAAGTTATCCATGGTGACAGAATAGAAACTTGGGTCCAGTACTAACTTTTTGCATAGTATCAATTACTATGCAATAGATAACTTTACAACAGCACCCTAAAGCACCAGTGGTAGGGATGCCTGAGAAATAAATCTGTTTTCCTTAGTACCAAGGTAATCTAGTGATGGACAAGTGACAGATGGTTCTGAGGACTACTTTTGAGGACCAGTAGTCTCTGACATGGTACAATCCTCAAGGAAGGCAATATAATGTCACCCAAACTTGGATTCAGATCCAAACTCTTCCACTTATTTAGCTGTGTGACTGTAGGCAAGTCATCTAATCTTGCTTAGTCTCAGTAAAGAAAGGAAAAAAAACAATAACAAAACCCAATAACTGCCTAGGAGGTTTGGGAAAAGATCGTTCAGTTCAGTTCAGTTCAGTCACTCAGTCACAGCCCACTCTTTACAACCCCAAGAACCACAGCACGCCAGGCCTCCTTGACCATCACCAACTCCTGGAGTTTACCCAAACCCATGTCCATTCAATCAGTGAGGCCATCCAACCATCTCATCCTCTGTCGTCCCCTTCTCCTTCCACCCTCGATCTTTCCTAGCATCAGGGTCTTTTCAAATGAGTCAGCTATTCTCATCAGATGGCCCAAGTATTGGAGTTTCAGCTTCAACATCAGTCCTTCCAATGAACATCCAGGACTGATCTCCACTGATGTATGTAAACACCCAGCAAATTGGTAGCAACACAGAGATGGCAGTGAGGGAAGTTACTCCTTTCTTATCATCTGGAGATGACCCCCATTACTAGAGATGAGGGGTGTCCCTGCCCCTACCTCTTGATACACAATTGACTTCTTCAGAGGTAACGTGGTAAACACAGGGCATCAGGGGAAAGAGATGAAGATTCAAGCTCAGTCCCTCTGGGTTTTGCACTTCCTCTCATCAATACATTTTTTGTCGCTCTAAATGAACTAAAGGTTGAAAGAGATTTCAGCCTGCAATATTCCTGAGATCCCAAGATTTTAAGCCATGGTTGAAAGGAATTCATCCAGGGTACCTTTCTTTTATCAGACTTCATTCAGACCAACTGAAAATATCAGAGGCAGAACCCTGTCCATCTTGGTTTCCTTTCCTCATTTGAAATGTTCCCATTTCCTACCTTCCTTTTACCACAAAAACAAACACATGGATATAGTTTGAAGACATTATATGCAATGGAGAGAGAAAACATTGGCAGGAAAAAAAACAGGTCTTTTTGCCATGAGTTGGCTAGAGAAATAAGTAATTTGTTTGTTTGTTTGTTTGTTTTTATTAAAAGGAATGATAGTATATGAAAAATCACCCAACACCCTAGGTGTGATGATAGGAAACACATCTCTATGAATGGAAATAAACTCAGGAAAGTGAGTCTATGTTTTACTAGCTATTTTCATGCCTTTCACTGGCCAGTAATGATATTGACCAGAGTATTCACATACCAGCCTATTTCACAGCAATTTCTTTTATACTCAATGGATATATAAATATAGTTTATATATAATATACATTATATATAATTATAAAATGTTGAACTTAAAGCTCAACATTCAGAAAAAAAAGATCATGGCATCTGGTCCCATCACTTCATGGCAAATAGATGTGTAAACTGTGGCAGACTTTATTGTTTTGGGCTCCAAAATCACTGTAGATGGTAACTGCAGCCATGAAATTAAAAGACGCTTGCTCCTTGGAAGAAAAGTTATGACCAACCTAGACAGCATATTAAAAAGCAGAGACATTACTGTACCAACAAAGGTCCATCTAGTTAAGGCTATGGTTTTTCCAGTAGTTATGTATGGATGTGAGAGTTAGACTATAAAGAAAGCTGAGTGCCAAAGAATTGACGCTTTTGAACTGTGGTGTTGGAGAAGACTTTTGAGAGTCTCTTGGACTGCAAGGAGATCCAACCAGTCCATCCTAAAGGAGATCAGTCCTGGGTGTTCATTGGAAGGACTGATGTTGAAGCTGAAACTCCAATACTTTGGCCACCTGATGTGAAGAGCTGACTCATTTGAAAAGACTCTAATGCTGGGAAAGATTGAGGGCGGGAGGAGAAGGGGACGACAGAGGATGAGATGGTTGGATGGCATCACCAACTCAATGGACATGGGTTTTGGTGGACTCTGGAAGCTGGTGATGGACAGGGAGGCCTGGCGTGCTGCAATCCATGGGGTCACAGAGTCAGACACGACTGAGCGACTGAACTGATATATAGTTATTTATATATAATATGCATTATATATAATAATTTATATATATTTCCATATATGTTAAATTATTTATGTCTATATATAAAAAGGGCTTCCCTGATGGCTCAGAGGGTAAAGCGTTTGCCTGCAATGTGGGAGACCTGGGTTTGCTCCCCGGGTCAGGAAGATCCCCTGGAGATGGAAATGGCAACCCATTCCAGTACTCTTACCTGGAAAATTCCATGGATGTAGGAGCCTGGTAAGCTACAGCCATGGGATTACACCTGGGGGAATATGAGCTTTTAATTTTGGGTGCTGGTGATCACAGGGGGATTCCTATTTCTTCCCTTTAAAATCCACTTTTAGTGGGCATTGAATTTCCAAATACATGAGGTTTTCTAAAGTATCTTTGATATTAATTTCTTAAATACTTTCTTCTCTGCAATAACTGTGTTGTTTTTCAGTCTTCTAACTTTACTGAAACTTTTAATAGCCAAATCAAAGATATCTCTTGGTAAATGTCATACTGCACAGGAAAATAGCTGAGTTATTTTCATATCTTTAAAAATGTGGTTTCTAACATAATTCCACAGTGGTAAGAGAATAGACTCTATGATTTCAATACCTTTAGACCATGAGATTTTTGCACCTTGTTTTATGTCCCTGGCTATGTTCCAATGTCTCCTAGTTTACTGTGTATGGGAACTTGAACAGAATTTGTATTCTATTATTGTGTGAAAGTTGTATGAATCTTAATTATGTTGAATTGGTTGATGGTGCCTTTTAGGTCTATTATATCTTCCTACTTTTCTGTATATTCATTCTATTAATTTTTGAAAGTCTGATATTGAAACTCCAACTAAATATCTTAATTTACCTACTTAAAAAAAAAAACTATAATATATAGTGGAACTATATGTAACTTTGCTCTGTATTTTCCAAGTCTCCTGTAAATGTGTTATCTTACTTTGATAATTTAAAAAATAAGAGAAAAAATCCACTTTTAAGGCTTAGAAAATACATTTCTCTAACAAACACATGTACCAAATATGGCTTCATTAAATAAAGTTTCATGATTTCTTAGAACCTCAAATTTAATAGAGCCTGAGTCAACTAAAGAAGATGGTTACCTCTCTCCCCAAAGCAGAATGACTATTGGGGATAAATTCCCCCACTTTCCCTTGTGCTGGCTGTGGCTAATTGATGTGCACCCTTTGTTTTGCTTGGGTCTGATACCACCAATTCGCCCCTGCAGCCGCAGGCCTCTGCCTGTCGCCATCAGGCATCTCTCGGACATCCTCCCTGACAGGACGCATCAATTCCTAGTGCTTTTCACCAGGCCTCGGCTCTGGCACTTTCCCCTGGGGAGACCTTTACTGGTCTCCATACTTAACCCTTGAACCCGGCCTAATCCATCAGCCTCACTGAATGAACGGTGATAGAGAATGCTTCTCCCCAAAGACAGGCAGCCGGCCTCTGCACTTAAAACTCAGAAAGCAAGCCATCAACAGGGTCTGCTTTCTGTTTGTCAGTGTCGCCAGCTTCTTCACTTACTGATGTTTTTATTGTGGCCGTGCACAGCTGCTTGAGTCTGCGCAGTGCTCTTCATGGAGACATCAGTAAAGGGGGCTTGTTAAATCTCATAGATGCTCTTTTGAAAACATCCCCTGGGACTCTGCTTGGGAGTTCCCCAAATTGGCAGACAGCACAGTTGTCATTTTGGAATAGGGTTTCCCCAAAGCTCTAAGAACAGCTTTGTGACCCACGCTCCCAAGCAGTTTTTGGATGCTACTAGAAATCACAACTTCAGAGAATGAAATATAACCCGCTGTATTAGGAAAGACAGAGAATGAAATATAACCCTCCGTATTAGGAAAGACAAGCAATAATGGGCAATAAATATTAAATATGTAAATGTGCTGTTTGAGACCTCCTTACCTCATAACCGAACTGCAGCTCATCAGAGGTCAGCATGATGATATCATCATCAATAGCCAGGACGGCCTCTGTCTCGATTTCGTCGTAAGGGAAGAAGCGGTTACTCAACTTGTTTTCGGCCGTTCTCACAACTTTTAATGGAACCCGGATTTTGGGCCACAGAGAATCTGGAAAAAGGAAAAAAACAAAACAAGGTATTTATGGCTCTTCTAACTTCTTTGAAAAGATAAACTGGTGAAAGCCGTGTCTCACAAATAAGACAGAAGCATCAACGCAAAGCTGTGACTCTCATGAGATCCACAGGCACAGGGCTTCCCTGGTGGCTCAGTGGTAAAGAATCAGCCTGCCAACGCAGGAGATGTGGGTTCAGTCCCTGATCCAGGAAGATCCCAACGCCACAGAGCAACTATGCCCACGTGCCACAACTACTGAGCTGGGGCTCTAGGGCCCGGGAGCCCCAACTACTGAGCTCACGTGCTGCGACGACTGAAGTCCTGTGCACCCTAGAGCCCACCCTCATAAACAAGAGAAGCCGCTAGAAGGAGAAGCCCTCGTGCTGCAGCTAGAGAGGAGCCCCCGCTCTCCGCAACTGGAGAAAAAGGCCGTATAGCAATGGAGACCCAGCACAGCCAAAAATAAATAAATAAGATAATGGGGAAAAAAAAACCATATGCACAACTATAGGAGGACATTCTTAAAGATGAATATATATTATAAATATTTCTCTTCTCTCTATATCCTTACAACACTACTGATGCTTAATGTTGTCTTAACCAGAATTCACAAACAGACTCCAACTCACAACTGAGAGGCAGAGGGGGGCCAAACGACTTGATGAAGGTCACAGGGACAGGCCAGGAGGAGGCATGGGCTCTGCCTGCCTCATTCTCAGGTCCAAGGTTTGAACACCAGGACTCGACCACCTGACCACCTCTGCATAACCCTTCCAGGTATGTACACCCAGCTCCAAACGTGCCTGCAGCCCCTCTGGGAAACATACATGCTGAAAGAAAATGAGAGTGCCCATTTCCATCACCAACGGCTCCCAAGGCTGCCAAAGCTACCCTCACAAAACCATGGCCCTGGATGAGTTCTAACTTAGCACCTCACCCCTCAACAGCCACTCTCTCCTGACTCACTGGGTTTGGTTTCTCATTGTGACCAATTTACAGAGTAAATATCAAATTTCCAGGTCTGATTACAAGGGATTTTCTGGTATACTGAAGGCACAGGAACTTGTGACTCGCCTTCCATTTTTCTCATTCTGCTTTGAAGCCATTCAACCTCAGGTTCCGCATTTTAAAGTGCTGCATTTAGCACAGCATGAAGTTAACACTTCTTTGGTACAGGACCCATGTCCACAGACCTCAGGGTTCTTTACAGAGGGCAGTTTGTTCTTCATGCAACATTTGTCAGATGAGAATAGAAAAGGTATCATATTGCTTCCAGAAGCCCAACACATAATTGTGGGATGATCTAGCTTTGTGAGTCTTGAAGCCCCAAAATGTCTTTGGCCACTCCAAAGTCACCATACAGAAGGAGAAGTGTGACAGAGGGAAAATCAGGAGGAAAAAAGGTTGCCCTAAGAGATGTCAGATAAAATATCTTACTTCTGCATAATTTATAATATGTCCAGGTAAAACAGTGTTGGGGTGCTCCTAGGTTCTTGGAAGAGGCCTGCAAAAGTGAGAGGCCCTGTAATAAAAGAAGATATTCCTTTATATATATATACACACACACACATATATATATGAAGAAGATATTCCTTAAGTTCCAAGTAAGCCGAGAGCCTAAAACACCTGGTGGCTCAGATTGTGAAGAGTTTTCCTGCAATGCAGGAGACCCAGGTTCGATCCCTGGGTCGGAAAGATCCCCTGGAGAAGGGAATGGCTACCCATTCCAGTATTCTTGACTGGAGAATTCCATGGACAGAGGAGCCTAACAGACTATAGACCATGGGGTCACAAAAAGTCAGACACAACTGAGCAACTAACACTTTCAGAGCCTGAAAAAGCTTAGGGCCTAAAAATGTGTTCAACTCCAAAAAAAGCATGTTTGGGAAAGGACTGGAGACCAAGGAAACGATCCAATGGGTCAGTGCCTTTTAATCAATGATCTACCTGGTCCAGAATGACATAATCAAAAAATATCTTCAGAATAAATGGATAGGCACAGACTAAGAGACTGGAGACCTGAGTTCTGCATTACCCATGGGGTTCTTGGGCAGGTCCCTTCTCAGGGTAAGAGTAAGTGGAAGAGGAGGGAACCTCCATTAAGCAACCAGTATATGCCAAATACTTTATTTTATAGCTGCACTGTCATTCATCCTCCTGAAAACTCTATGGAGCAGAAATTATTTACAAAGTAGGATTCACAAAGCTCAGAGAGGTTAAGTACATTGGCTGGGGTTAGGGCTAAATGATACAGCTAGTATTTGAATCTAAGTCTGTTTAGCATCAAAGACCAAATAGGACTTGCACCATTTATTGCAGCTTGAAAATGTCATGTTTCTATGGATCTGGAACAAAAACAATCATCCTTATTCTTCTCTGCTTCCCATTCACTCTTCCAGTTAAATAAAAGAAATCCCTGTCATAAATCCAAATCCTTAGAAAACATGAATAAATTGTAATACCTAAAAGTGAAGGAAGTTATAGCTCTAACTAGATCAGTGGTTATCTTTAGATCAGTGGTTCTCAAATTTTTTGGTGTCGGGATTCCTTTGTGCTATTAAAAACTGTTGAGATCCCCAAAGAGGTTTTATTTATGTGGGACACACACACACACACACAATTTATTATATTCTGAATGAAAACCAAGGAAACTTTAAAACCCCAGGACACACGAGCACACACTCCATCAGCCAGTAGAGCGGTGATGTCATCCCATGTCGGGCAGGCCCTGGAAAACCCCACTATGCACATGTGAAAAATATAAGCGTGGGAAAGCAGGGTGACTCAGCATTCTCATAGAAAGAATTTCAACCTCACCAGCCCTGTGAAAGGACCTCAGGGAAGCTCAGCAGTCCCCGGACTGCACTTTGAGAACCTCTGTACGAGACTTTGTATTTAGATTTGGGTACTGCAATAGAGCTGTCCAGCATGGCTCAGATGATAAAGAATCTGCCTGCAATGCAGGACACCAGGGTTCAATCCCTGGATCGGGAAGATTCCCTGGAGAAGGGAATGGCAACCCACTCTGGCATTCTTGCCTGGGGAATTCCATGGACAGAGGAGCCTGGAGGACTAGTCTGTGGGGTTGCAAAGAGTCAGACACAACTGAGCGACCAGCACACAAACGCTTACAACAGAAGTACCAACAAACTGGGAGATATGAGGAGTTGATGAGGATAGTGCAGGTACTTGAATCCAGATCTCTTTAAACTGAGTATGCCAGTTGTTACACACTGCCTCTCAGCTTTAAATTCACCCTTCACTGCCCTGTGGGTGATAGGCAGCCGACCCCATCACCATTTCCCCTTTGCCCGCTGACACGACATTAAGCCTTATTAGTAAAGGGCGCTGGAGGGATGCTGGGAGGTAAGGGGCTTCGCTTCCTGGTTCAGGGGTGCCTTTTTTACTTGCTCCTTTGGTACCTGACCAGCAGACAGGCAGAAGCACCCCTCTCAGCACGTTAAGTGACAGCCCCAAGGGAGGATTCCTAGCAGGTTCTCCAGACACCCCAACAGGCTCCCTAAGGAGTCTGACAGCTCCTCTGCCGGCAGTTTCCTGGCAAGTACTGTGATACCTTCAGCAGCAACTCAGCTGAGGTTCTGCCCTCAGGTGGTTCCGAGTGAACTGAAGCCCCCGCCAGTACCCAACTGAGTCCAATAACACCCCCGGATGGCTTCCTGTTGAATTCCGTGGGTATCCAAAGGGGCTGCTGGTTTCCTGTTTGCTAGTCTTAGCCTGTGGCACCTGAGCAGCCTCACCATGTGGTGGGTCTGAATCCTAGACCAAGCCTGGGGAGGTGCTCTCAATCCCCAAGATGATTTTCTATAATCCTGGGAGCTCTTTTCACCCTTTAGTCACCAATCTCCTAGTCCTAGTTAACAGTTCCGAGTTAATACTTGAACATTTCCTGTTCAAGTTGCTGTGTGGTTTCTGTCTCCCACCTGAATCTTGACTAACACACTAGGGCTATCAGAAGGGTTGTCAGATGAAAAGGGGAATTGTTCTCTATGGCTTCTGAAGCTAGAACCATGACCAATGCCTGGGTGAAAGTTACAGGGAAACTGATTCAGACTCAAAATAGGCAAGAATGCTCTAATGAAATGAAATGCCTTCAGCAATACTATGTGCCCTTCTACTTGAAATGTACTAACTTCAGGGACCAAACAAGATACCTGTGAGGACTGTATGGACAGTAACATTTCACAGAGAGATCAGTCTTTGGAAAGAGCTTCAAATCTCAGGTGCCTGCACTCCTTATCAGCCATGTGATCTTGAACAAATCAGTGACTTTGTACCTGTTTCTCTGACTATGAAGATGGGACAGTAACACCATCTTCACCTGTGGCAAGGAGTGAGGAGGAACAGGAACGCGTTCAGCAGCGCAGTGCCCGGCATGTGGCAGACTCCCACCGAATGTGAGCTGTGCTTTCCCTTGTAAGTCTGTGCCTATTTACAGACCAAAGATGTTTTTAAACCCTAAGGAGTGGTGGCAAAGTGGCACATGTTAGATCTCATACATTACTCTGACAATCTAGTGGTATGTCCTCAGCTTTTATCTTCAAAGTCCACTTTGAGCCCAACAGAAACCCTGCCATTCATCCTCTAGAACTGAAAAAACCTAACTTGCCAATGGAACAAAGAAACATGGAACTCTTGCCAAGGAAATTTCACAAGGCAACAAACAGCCCCTCTTTCTGCAATACAGAAAGAGGCTAGAAAATAGGTTAGCTGCTTGTGTGACGTGTAGACGTTCCTCTACCCTGGATGAGAGGGACTCTCACCCAGCGAGTGTGCACAACACGTTCAACAGAGAGTTTTCCAATTCTTTGCCTATGTGTAGCCAAAAATTACTCAAGACAACATCTGTAAACAACCTTCCTCGATAAGGTCTTTGATAGGGAAGTTTTAGCAAGTGAGGACAGCCAAATGGGCACAGATGGAAATGCTGAATGAATTGTGGCTTTCTTGGAAAGGTGATTACCTTTTCCTGTTCTGAGTTGAACCTGGAGAGTCAAAGGCAGCTTTGGTAAAAGAAGTCTCCATCTCAACGGTCCAGCTCCCTATGAACCATCATGACCACAAGGAAGGACTCCAAGTAGAACTCCCAGTTTCTTGTTTTCGCAGTTTCAAATACAACAGGCCTCTAAGGAGTGGACCCAACTTTCTTGGGCTTTTGTATCCCTTCTGTGGAACATCGGAACAAGAAGGTGGCTAGCCAAAGAAGCATTATAATTACTCCCTGCCTTAAAGCAGATAATTCTGATAAAGGATTTCGATACAGTTTGAAAAAAAAAAAGGACAGGAATACAAGGTAGCAAAGAAAAACACAGGTGAGAAAGAACAGAAGACTTGTATTTTTCTTTCCATTAATATTTTCAAAAGAGTAAGGTTTATTTGTCTGCCTCTTTTCGAGCCCCTGATAAGAACCTGGTTGATCTGCATAATCTCAAATCAGAGATCTGACAAAGCATGATTTCCTTGCTGCTAAACAGCAATCTGAATAGATACAGTGGGCCTCGGGGCACAGAGCATGAGCTTTGGATCCAGAGAGACCTGTGTTCATTTCTGTAGATCTCTGATGTGTGTGTGTTAGTCATTGAGTCGTGTCCAACTCTGTGTGACGCTATGGGCTGTAGACCACCAGGCTCCTCTGTCCATGGAATTCTCTAGGCAAGACTACTAGAGTCGGTTGCCATGCACTTCTCCAGGGGATCTTCGGAATCAAGAGATTGAACCTGGGTCTTTGCATTGCAGGCGGATTCTTTACTGTTTGAGCCACCAGGAAGCCCTAGGGGAAATTACTCAGTTAATCTGAGTTTCACTTTTGTAAATGGGGATAATATCAGCTTCTTTACAGGTTTGTTATAAGCACTAGAGATAATAGGTGTAAAGCACTTAGTACAGTTCCCATTCCTTGGATATAAAAGGTACATAATACATGTTATAACAACACGGTATCATTCTCATTTTCACTACTGTGCGTAGTGGTTCAGTCGTGTCCGACTCTTTGCAGTCCTTTGGACTGTAGCCAGCCAGGCTCCTCTGTCCATGAGATTTTTCAGGAAAGAATGTGGGACTAGGTTGCTATTTTCTTCCTCCAGGAGATCTTCCTTACCCAGGCATCTTCACAAATGGATTCTTGTAAAGTCTTACAAACTTCACTTTGCCTCTGACATTTTGGAGAGGTGTAGACAGAAGAATATGTGGTGACTCCTTAGGATGCAGGAGGAAACAGTATCACAGCTAGAAACCTTCGGGTTCTTACACCACTGCTTGGCCTAGATGGGGTCTTTTTCCTTACTCCTTTAAATTATAAATGGAACTGCATGAATTGTAGCTTGTGTCTCATCCTGCAAATCTGTAGCTGGCAAAACAGAAATGTCGCCTTCCATTCACACAAAGTAGTCTGAAAAATAAGATTTCTCAAAAACATTGCCAAGCTTATGAAAAACAAACAGCTGAGCCAACTGACCTGATAACTTTACAGTTTTGAGCTTCAGTCCAACTTGAAGGAGAAAAAGAACTCCTTGTGCTAAGGATTTTTTTAAAATGTGTATTGATTAACAGTTTTCTCCAAGTTGGATGCCAGAAACCATGTGAGCAAGGAGAACTCTCCAACTTGGCAAAGGTACTATGAAATGTTCAGGTTGTCTGACGATGACCCCAAGTCCATCCTGGGGATCACTGTCACACACAACCACAGATTCACAGAATCAACCATCTGGTTATCTCTGTACAAATCTCAAGCTCCCTCCAGAAGTCCTCAACCAGCCTGGGGAACAGAAGGTTCCTAGACCCTCACTCCCCACAGTCCCAGAATTGAGCTTGAAGGAACGGCGCTCCTGCTTCTACCTCTCAATTGCCTCCATCCTGACGGACCGCTCTGAAACGCTCAGCCAATCCCATCCTGCCTATTAAGAACTGTGGAAGTAGCAATCCGAAGCTGGGGTGGCCATAGGGGAGTTCCCTGAGATCAATTTAAATTTAAAAACTGAAATCAGTTAAAACAGAAGGCTGCGTTAAACCTATCTGAAATGTACGATGTAACAGCTTCCTTCAGGCTGAGGCCAGGGGCCAAGCCTAACAACCTCCATATCCATCAAGCCGGGAAACTGAAAAGCTGGGGTCGGAGGAGGGCAGTGGCTTGCCTTTTCGTCTGACAGAGCTCAAAACCAACGTGACGAAAGCTCGCTGGAAATTTCTATTGCCTAGTCTAAGTATTTACTTAAACTTCAAACCCAGCAATTTAGACTTAAATGTAACCAAAAAGAAAATACTATTTGGTTAGGTTGGAGAGTGAAAAAAAAAAAACTGGAGGGGAGGGATTTCTGCCTACACTAATCCTCCCAGCAGCAGACATGTTAACCACAATATTTATTTTAGTAAATGTAGAGAAAGCGAAAAACATCACTTTTGCCTCTAACATTTCAAAGCCTTGGACTTGTCTTTTAAAAAATATATATGTTACTAATGCCGTACATGAAAAATCAGATGCCTCTGCCGGCACGAGGGCCAGAGCTGACAGCCCCATTTACCAACTGAACAAACACCCCACAGAAGATTAAACACGGTTCATGTTCTCCCCCAAACCACCACCGCGCCAGAGCCAGAGCCCTGACCTCAAAACCACTGTTAGAAAAAGAGCTGGTCCAGCCCCTGAATGTGTCAAAGTTTGGGTCTCATCAGCTGAGGGCTCTCTTTCCTCTCCAGAGCCAAAATATTTAAAAAATAAACTACACTCTTGGTCATGACATTCAGCACTACACTTTGGTAGGGTGTACCAAAAATTAAAACTGAACACCCAACTCCAGAACCTACGTGTGTCCTATTGCTTTTAGTGATGGCAATGTAGGCAAGGACCTTAGACCAAGAAGGAAGAAAACGATTTCTCTTTTCTCACAGTTTGCAGTGATACTTGCCCCAAAGAAGTGTCTCAAAGCCACATTAAATAAGTCACCTTATGCCCAAAGTGGCTAACCCGGTTTTCTAAGGAGAAGTCTCCTCTGCATTTAGCACCATCGCTGCCTGTGTGGGTAGGAGGGTGGGGTGCAGCCGGGAGGCTCCTGCTCTGGAAGCTGGTGGCCTTGGCGTGCAGGGGGGCGACTGTAGATACGACACACAGCTGTTCCAGCTCCAACAAGGGACACGCAGCCTTCCTTCTGAAACACAACCCATCCCTTTATGAATGAAGACACGGATCAGCAATGCAGTGCCTCCGATCCACCTCACTCTGGGTGGACCTGGGCTTCTGATGACCCTCCCTGCTGTCCCTTTCTGTCCCCTCAGCCTCCTCCTCCTCCCCCTTCCCATCAGTCTCGTCCTCTCTCCCTCTGAGAAGATGCCAACATCCTCTTTTTTCTTCTACCCCTTTCTGTCCCTTTTATTGAGAGTCAAACAAACAAAACAAAAATCCAAGAATGTCGGCACAAAAGCATGATAATAATAACAACAATAATAAACACAGTGAGCTTCAGGGAATACTATTGGCTTTCATGTAAAATAGCTACTTTGTTTACTAAACTGTGGCTCCCCGAATCTAAAAAGCAAGTATTGATGCAGAGAACAAAAGTCCCACCAAGGAAAAAATTTTTAAAGTCTCAAGAGGGCATTTAAATCCTGATTTGCCTCACAGACAGAAGTACATTCTTCTCCCAGCCTAGACTATGGATCTATTGCTGGGGTTTCCAAGGTTGACTATCCCGACTTCAGGATAACCAATTAAATGGGAACAGCCATAAAAAGTGCAGATACTACTGTCAGGCAATAAACTAGACCTTATCAGTGATAGTGGTGCACATTACAAACTTCAAACTCATTCCTTGCTCTAATCCATCAGAAACTTCCTGGCTTTAATAGGCTATAAAGGGCAGGGGCTTTGAAGTCCCTGGGATTAGAATCCATAATAGACGGACTGAATGAGAAACGAAATGCAGGTGGAACGTACATTATGCGTCTTGAATTAAAAACAAATCCAATGAATCAAACAGGCTCAGCCCGAGCTGCCAGTCAGCAGATTATAGGGCTGGCCAAGGCGAGGGACAGAGTGATTAAGGATGAGCTGGTGGGAACTTCCAGCGAGGGCTCACTTTAAGGAGCTGATTCAAGCCTGGGAGGGCGCGCTTTGCTGACTTTGCCCATCAGAGGTGAGGCCGTCCTTTTTGAAGAAGAGCATGGTATCAGAGCCGAGATAAGGAAGGAGAAAACTAATGCCTTTTAAACTGACTTTTCATGTAAACAAATCAGCTGAGAGGGCTGAGGGAAGCTAAGATCTGTTTTCGCAAGGCTGATGGCCTTTGATCCTATTGATTCCTAAGCCCTCAAACACTTGCGGCTACAGAGCATGCCGTGGGCTTAAAGTTAAATGGGCCACCCTAGAACAAGAACAAGATGACTGAGAAAACCAGGGTCACGCTGCCTCAGGAATGGCGTTGCTGTTGACAAAGCAGGAAAGTTCATTTAAGACAAAGGCTGCAAATCATTTGTCTATCCAAAAAAACTTGATCCCATTGAGATGAACATGAACATCCAAACCGGGCCTTTCCAGACACACCGTCTCTCCACTCTTCTTACCTTCAGGAGGGTTTTTATTCTGATTGTTCCAGACGACCAGTAACTTGGAGAGGCTGGGCACCTTGGACACTTCAGTGATGACCCGGAAGAGGCTCTCCACTCGGTCGTAGGTGAGGACGATGGCTGTGAAACCTTGAGATTGCGGGGGGATGAGGGGGAGGAAGAGAGGGTTGCTCACACTGCTCCACTTCTGCAAGAGAACAGATTAATGTGGGTCAGAGAAGGATCTAGTAACAATGGTGCTGGTCTCTTTCTCAGCGTCACCAATAAACCTGAACATGGGAGACTCGATCGCTCTTACTAGGACCAATCCAAGAGGCAACTCTCCAAAGTCTTCCCCACCTCAAAATCTGCACTGATGATCTTTAACTGAGTTTGGCCCTGATACCCTTAAAAAAAGGAGCAGAGAATTTCTGCAGCTAAGAGGAGATGTCTAGTTAAACATGACAGATTTAAACACATGCATTTATCTCCATTCTCTCCCCAAACCCACTAAAACGGCAATTAATAAATATAAATCTACCCAGACAATAAAATGGGAACAGAGACAGCAGCTGATGAGCAGCTGAAAAGTCTTTTCATGCTTCTGAAAAGACTGAAAAGGGCTGGAGAAGTGGTGACAGGGCAGAAGGGTGAGAGTTGCAACCCAAGTGCTATAAAAGGGGTGGCGGGGCAACAGGGCAAGCAAGTCCCAACTGTTAGCTACACAATGGCCCAGAGATTGTGCTCGCTGGGACCTCATGAGGTAAGAGGAGAAGGGTGAACATAGTTAAAATATGTGTAAGGAGCAGTGACAGACTCAGGGCATAAACGTTCCCATCACCTGCCCACTCAACCAGAAAACTACTCTTCTTCCTTACCCAAGCTACAGAAAGGAGATTGATTCTCTGAGAAAACTAAAGCTCTAGACATGGAAACATAGGTACCGAAAAGAGAGAAATGCAGTTAGAGCCTATATTTTGAATGATGAGCTCTACAGCTTCTTCCCCCTCTAGCAACCCAAACATTAGCAGCCATGTGGTTACTTGCCACTCCATGACCTGACAGCGAAGCCCCATCACCTTACAGTGAGGCCCTACCACCTCACAGTGAGTACCCACCACCCTACAGCGAGGCCCCCCTCTCACAGCGAGGCCCCACCGCCCTAGAGCGAGGCCCCACCGCCCTACAGTGAGGCCCCCCCCCTCACAGCGAGACCCCACCACCTCACAGCGAGGCCCCACCATCTCACAGCGAGGCCCCACCACCTCACAGCGAGGCCCCACCACCTCACAGCGAGGCCCCACCACCCTACAGCGAGGCCCCACCACCTCACAGCAAGGACCCACCGCCTCACAGCGAGGCCCCATCACCTCACAGCGAGTACCCACCACCCTACAGCGAGGCCCCCCTCTCACAGCGAGGCCCCACCGCCCCACAGCGAGGCCCCACCGCCCCACAGCGAGGACCCACCGCCCTACAGCGAGGCCCCCTCTCACAGCGAGGCCCCACCACCTCACAGCGAGGCCCCACCACCTCACAGCGAGGCCCCACCACCTCACAGCGAGGCCCCACCACCTCACAGCGAGGACCCACCAAATCACAGTGAGGACCCACCGCCTCACAGCGAGGCCCCACCAATTTACAGTGAGGCCCCACCAATTTACAGCAAGGACCCACCGCCCCACAGCGAGGCCCCACCGCCCCACAGCGAGGCCCCACCGCCCCACAGCGAGGCCCCACCACCCTACAGCGAGGCCCCACCGCCTCACAGCGAGGACCCACCGCCTCACAGCGAGGCCCCACCGCCCCACAGCGAGGACCCACCGCCCCACAGAGAGGACCCACCGCCCCACAGCGAGGCCCCACCACCCCACAGCGAGGCCCCACCGCCCCACAGCGAGGCCCCACCAAATCACAGTGAGGACCCACCGCCTCACAGCGAGGCCCCACCAATTTACAGTGAGGACCCACCAATTTACAGCGAGGCCCCACCGCCTCACAGCGAGGCCCCACCGCCTCACAGCGAGGCCCCACCACCCTACAGCGAGGCCCCACCACCTCACAGCGAGGCTCCATCACCTCACAGCGAGGACCCACCACCCTACAGTGAGACCCCACCACCTCAGAGCGAGGACCCATCACCTCACAGTGAGGCCCCACCACCTCACAGAGAGGCCCCAACAATTTACAGCGAGGCCCCACCACCTTACAGTGAAGCCCTCTGGGTAACAAGCTTCTCTTAAACAAAAAACTTTTGATCAACTTTTTAGAGTGTCCACAGATCCTAGAATCAGACATTTTAAGAACATCTTCAGCATGAACAATAGAAAACAGACAAAAAGAAAAACAAGAAGGCAGAGAAAACAGAGACAACAGAAGAAGCAGAGAGGTGGTGGTTTAGTTGCTCAGTCGTGTCCGACTCTTTGCGACCCCATGGACTATATAGTCCATGGAATTCTCCAGGCCAGGATACTGGAGTGGGTAACCTTTCCCTTCTCCAGGGGATCTTCCCAACCCAGGGGTCGATGCCTTCCGCATTGCAGGCAGATTCTTTACCAGCTGAGCCACGAGGGAAGCCCAATAATTCATGTACTAAACAATGCACCCATTTAAGGTACACAATGGGTTCTGGTATATTACATTGTTAAATTTTAAAAACTGGTAAACTATAACATGAAATCTGCCATTTCAAACATCTTTAAGTGTACAATTCGGTGGCATGAATTACATTTACATTCATAAGCTTTTACATGAAAAGCTTAACTTCAGGACCTAACTTCAGCTTCACCAGGAGGAGGCTGAATATGAAATGGCCTGTTATTCTGGCTGCTCACGCTCCTTAGTCTTTCCATACTCTGGGATTTCCAAGGGTTCCCCCATCAACCTCATCCACATCACTGGTGGACACCCATCAACCACGTATATGACAACAGCTGTTTGCCAGATGTAACAGTGTGGGGCAGGAAAGGCACACAAACACATGGAATACACATGGGTGGGAACTCAAGGAGGCTGAATGGGATTCCTGGAGCCCTAATGTCATCAGGATATTAATGCCAAAGTGTCCACAACAGGCCATAATTAAGATTTCACAACCAAGAGACACAACAGGAAGGCCTGTCTTCCTAAGGCTGACTTTTTGTTTCCACAATATCGTACTTGGGCATTAAGCCATGGTCTTAGGAAGATGCCTGGATCTTGGTGTTTCTACCCTGCATCTGATCACCTTTGCAGGAATACCTTTTCATTTTCTACTCCTATCTTATTCGTCACAGTTTCCTGACTTGTATGGAAACGGAAGTCAGGAAGTAGCCCTGTGCGTTAAGTCACAGTTAATCCCCGAGGTTCGTGGTCTCTCTGCCCTCACCAACCCAGCCCACTCATCAACCCCTCCCAACACAAAACTCGTGTGCTTGGAAATTACCATTTTAAATGGAAAAGAAAAAAAAGTTTTTAAAGAAGTATGTAAAATAATTTAATATGTGATATCAAAATAGTCAAGATTTACTAAGTACTTTGGTTTCCCTGATAGTTCAGCTGGTAAAGAATCTGCTTGCAATGCAGGAGACACCAGTTCGATCCCTGGGTCAGGAAGATCCGCTGGAGGAGGGATAGGCTACCCACTCCAGTATTCTTGGGCTTCCCTGGTAGCTCAGCTGGTAAAGAATCTGCCTGAAATGTGGAAGACCTGGGTTCGATCCCTGCGTTGGGAAGATCCCCTGGAGAAGGGAAAGGCTACCTACTCCAGTATCCTGGCCTGGAGAATTCCATGGACTGTATGGTCCATGGGGTCGCAAAGAGTTGGACACGACTGAGCAACTTTCACTCTGAGGCACTGTGCTTTACATATATTATCTCATTTGCGCCTCATGACAACCCCAAAATAGATGGCTACCATTCTCATTTTACGAATGATGAAACTGTGGGATTAGAAATAGTGAATGATGTCTAACCATTTGCTTTACCAGTCCAGAAAGGAAAGAAGAAATAGTGAACGATGTTCATGGTCATATAACCTATACATGACAGAGCGGGAAAGCGCCCAGGCTGTCTGACTCCAGAATACCAGGATGTGGTGTTTCATGGCCCTTCCCCAGTTTGAGGTAAGCATCACCATTTACATACTCTGGAAACTGGAACTGTGGGAAACTCCAGAGCTTATTACTTCTAGCTCTTCTCTGAAACAGAAATGCTGAAGGTTTTCTTGATTCTTGATGATCAAATCTGGGCCAATAAGTAAGAGACCACCTAAACACTATGATTTCAGAGGGTACAAGGAATAAAAACATACCAAATACATAACACTGACACAAAGGGAGCACATAAATTTAAAAAGGTAAATACACCTCTAACACAGGAGGAAAAACTATTAAACCTCCAACAAAATGAGGTCTGTTCTTCAGAAGTGGGGAATGCCAGCACACTTGCATGCCTCTATGACATTCAAAGGAGGGGAAAAATTCCCTGAGAGATGCAAAGCATGGTTTCAGAAAATGAATCCCTTGGAATTTAAACCCCCCAAAAGGCATCGCAGCTCTGGTTTCACAGCGCTGCCAGGAGAAGAAAACGAAGTCTCTGGCAAGACAATAGATCCTGTCTCATCCCGTATGCCAGCTCCCTTTGGGAAGCAGATGGTTATGTGATGCGGGAGGAGACGAAGGGTGGGTAGGAAATGGACAGTAACTTGTCTCGGCTCTCAATTTTTCCACACCGCTCACTTGCATGCCAAACAGGGCTTGAATACTGGAGAAGCAGAAACGGCAGCATACTGAGGGAGACAGGGCACATAAAGGAGCGTAACAAGCTCTGAAATCTTGCCAACACTTTCCCACGAAACACAGGCATTGAGATGAACACGGAGACAACACAGAAACTGCTGAGCATGAATTTACTGTGTTACAAGCTTGACACTTTACTGTAGGATATGCCACCAACACTGATGCAAATGACTTCAAAAAAGTGAGTCAACACATTTGAGGTCAGTTTTAGAATCACATGTCCTTAATCAGAACCCAGGTTCTTCGCTTACCAGCTCTGTGACCTGGGCAAAGCACTTAACCTCTCTTGCACCTCAGTTTCTGAATCTACAAGCTCACGGTAAAACTACAACTTTTCTAGGTGCAAGTACAAGTGTTAGTCGTTCAGCTGTGTCATACTCTTTGTGACACCTGGCCACCAGGCTCCTCTGTCCATGGGATTTCCCAGGCA